CAGTAGTTTATGATCTCAGCTGGCTTCCCACAAACAAAGTCAATAAGGGAAGCTGGATTCACTTAATGATTGCCTGATTCACTTAACAACTCCACTGATTTCCCTAACCATGGCAAAAAAGGTTTGTAAAATTAGCAGCAACTCACTTAACAAACACCTTGCTTAGCAACAGAAATTCTGGTCCAAGTTGTGGTTGTTAACTTGAGGACTACCTATAACAGTGATGGCGAACCTATGGCACGGGTGCCAGAGGTGACACTCAGAGCCCTCTCTGTAGGCACGCACGCCGTCGCCCCAGTCCTAGGCGTTCAGCTGGGTTTTATAAAACCTTTTCGCTTTAGGCCTCCACCACCATGTACAAAAAAAAGGTTCAATCAATCAGTCAATTTCAATTTCTCGCGGGGAAAAAAAAGATCTTGCAAAGTTGGAATTGATTTATTGAACTTTTTAGTCCTACCCAGTCTGCTGTTACCACCGCAGCTACGCCCACCCAATGGGCCACACCCACCCAATGGGCCACACTGATCCGGCACCCAACGATGCATAAGTGGGTTTTGGGTTGCAGTTTGGGCACTCGGTCTCTAAAAGGTTCGCCATCACTGACCTATAAAGTTAAATATAAGACATGGAGCGAAAAGTGAACAAACTTTATTCTGGCTTACTACCATACAGTATATATTTGCCAGGAAAGACATAGTATATTAAACAGCATTTTCAGATTGTACCACTTATATATAAAGTTTAGGAATTCTGCCAAGATGAAGGAACCACGGCTTTTGAAGAGATCTTGCTTATTTCCACTGACAAGAGTGATCTCCTCTTAAACAAGATCTGATTTTGCCACACCCAAGTCTGAAGTGGCTGAAGCAAGAGCACCCAACATTAAACTTTAAAATGGAAAACAGTAAGCTTCTTGCTGTATCCAAAGAAAGAGTGCCTTACTTCAAGAGCTGCAGCTGTGCCCTGAATCTGTATGAATGGATGCTGTGTGATGTTAAATAAGCCATTTCCTCCATGTTGAAGCAATGTATTCATTGACACTCTAACTGAAACTTGCTCCGAGTGGAAATAACATAAGCAGACGAAGATGTGGACAGGTTTTGAGGTGGTAGAAACATTTTATTGAAATATATCATAGCAAGGAACTCTCCAGGAAGTAATTATGTTCTGAGATTTGTAAAGATGCTTTGAAAAGAGGCATATAAGAATCAGGAAACATAAGATATAGTTGAGTAAAATTCCATGATGTTTGTAGATGATTGTTGTGGGGAAGAGCTCTAGCTTAGTGGTGGAACATTTATTTTAATTCAATCCCACTAAAAATCTCACAGACTTGGGAATTATTATTTTTTTGCCACTGGCCTAAAAAGAATTTGAATACAGATGATTTATTCAACCTACAGAGTAAAGCAAATTTTCATTCAGAAGAAACTATTTATCAAATATACGGGTAGCCTGCCTTTGTCTCTCAGGTTAAATTATTTTTTAAAAACCAACAGTTTCCAATTATATATTTATTTTATTTTATGTGCCACAGGTTAACCTTATATCTGGTCAAAAATTATTCCCAAAGAAGCCTGTGTTACCTCAAGTTCAAAATTTATTGCAAATCAGTGTAGAGCCCAAAAAATACAGTGCAAGCTAATTAAACATATGGTTTAATTAAATATGATTTAATTAATTAAATTTCTTGGGAGTAGCATAGTTCTCTGGAAATGGGAATTATCCTTCCTAAATCTTTATTTTATTTATATTTCATATTTCTTAACTGTTCATCTCCCTTAGATTTATTTTACAATTTATTTTCCCAGAAGTTAATTCTTTTTAAAAGATGAAGAGAATCTCCCCCTCTCCTGAACACACTTCCAAAGTGAGAAGAATGAGGAAGATAAAAGTTGGGTAGTTAAAGGACCTTTTTATTTTAACAAATGACATTGTTCATATAAAAAAAATCACAGATGCTTCTGGTTCTGAAGAAGCTACAAAGAAGCATCATTTCTTCTTGTTCATCCTGATATTACTTATTTTAATATCACTGAAGCCCTTGAAAATGAATGAAAGTGGAATTAAATCCAAAGTTCTGGAAGATTTTTTTTTTTTTAGTACCAGCCTATTTAAAGAAGGGGGGTAATAAAGTAAATCTTCAGAAGTAAATCTTCAGAAAAATGTAGCAGAAAGAAGTTACAGAAAGACAGCATAAATCCATCTAAAGCAGTTTAATATAAATGAAATGAGATAATACACTTTGGGGGCCACTTTTCAAGGAGACCTGCTCCCCCAAAGCAAAATTATGAAATGCATCATTAAATCATCCATTACAAATATTCAGCTATTAAGCCTCTTGGAACATTCCAGCAAAATAACAAATGGGTGATACAGTACAGATGTAACATTTAAAATAGCTGTCATAGCAAAATAGTTCAGCCAACTTAATTGAAAGATATAACTAGGGAAAACTGATATAAATGATGGTAATGAATATCAATGGATCTAATACAGACAAGAATATGGCACCATCCATGTTTGCAACAAGATTTTTTTTGCTTTAAAAAAATTATTAGCACGTCACGTTTATTTTCAAAAGTTTATTCATTATCTTTGTCTTTTAAGCATTTTTTATTTTTTATTTTTTTAAAAATGCCAAACTATTTCAATTGTGGAAAAAATGGAGTGGTAATATCACAGGATTTACCTAGTCAGTGCTATGAGCAGATAAGGTTTGTGGTGGTTGTTTTGACAACTTGCCAAAAATTGTTCCTGAGAAAATAATTTGCCTGGACAGAATAATAGCAAAATGATTTTTTTAAAAAATTTTTTACAATGTTACATCAGTATACACCCGATCAAACTCTGAGCAGAGGAAGGAAAAAACATTGTGCTTTTTCAATAGCATGGCTTTTAATAGACAGTCATATTTGCAAACACTTTATAATAGTAGGCAACTAAAGATTTGTTATGAGAGAAAAACTGTACCATTTAGACAGACATAAAATAGACTAATACAATAGCACCACCAGTTGGTCACAGCTTTCTTTACTTCACAGAAGACAACAGATCTGTTCTGAAGTAAGATGGCTATTAATGCATATACTACTAGAAGAAAATGTATAATACAGGTAAATTCTGCATCATAGGTAGCCCCACAATCTATTGTATTTGCCCCATAGAAATGTCTAGATTGAATATGTTGTGTAATTTCTGACATCAGTACCATAGGTTATGTAGTTGAGGCAGTCAACAAGGCATGTACTCATGATATATCCCATGACTGCTAATTTGGGGCGGGAAAGTCTGGTAGATACATTTAGGTTTTAAAAAGAGGTAGGCTCTCTCACAAAATGTTGGCTGGGAAAATGGCTTGTCCATTACACAAACGCCATTGGGGATAAAATCAGTTACAAAACACTGATTTACCAAAATTCCACCTACTACTTTTTGTTTCTCTGCCCTTTCAAGTGGTTTCCTATTATTTTTGTTTTGTTTGCTTGTTTTGGGTAGGTAGGTGGAACTTTCACATTAAGCAGGGGAAGTAAGTTGCTCATTGTTTTCAGTAAGTAAGCATTAGAACAATTTCCTATGAGCAGAAAACCTGGTGAGCATCTGAAGTCAACACTGAAGATGTCATATGTTGGAGATTCTAGTTTGGGACATTGTGTCATCCCAAGTACATTGCACTGATTTCTTCTGGATATTTCACTTGATTCAATTATTGCTTTCATTAATTAATTTAAATTCACCTTGGCTTTCTGCTCACATATTAAATCAGATGTGACAGTTGATATCCCATAACCAACAGTATGTTGCCTTAAAATTCAGTTAGCTATTGAAATTGGAAGAGGCTGGATAGAATGGGAAGCAAATTCCACACATCTTTGTATATGTTAGGTTCCTGGCTTCTTTCATGAAAATCATATTTGTGATTCTAATTTCTGAGTCAAGCTATGGATTCTTGCACTTAACAGGAATCACTCTCAAGTTAAATGCATTTCATCCACTAGCATTTGTCAGCCATTATTTGAAAGATGGACCAGAATATCCACAGAAAGATTTATAAAAAAAATAGCAAACTTTGGGATCCGTTTTCTCTTTGTACTACTCTTCTTGTACCGAAGCAACCACAATAACTTCTGGGCTGCAAAAAAATCAGAAAATCCCTAGATGGCAGCAAAGAAATATATTTTTATAACCTTTTACTACTATCCAATGATTATACAAATGTCTGCAGCCCAGCTCTATTATCCTGCATAATACTATCCAACTGAAACGGATCAGACTAGCTAAACTTATAAGCCAATTAACCATATTCATCCTAACAAGGAACAGGAGATTCTTCTCTAGTGTACTGATTTTTCATGATCCCTTGGTTCATATGGACTGCTGAATCTAGTAGAAAATGGGTAGAATCAGGGCTTTTTTTCTCATAGAACGCCCAGAACAGAGTTCCGGCACCTTTTTTGGATGGAACTTTGTAGGGTAGGCAAGGCAGGTTGTATGACATGTGTGAGTTCCAGCACTTTTTTTTTTTTTTTAGAAAAAAAGCACTGGGTAGAATTATTTCACTCTAGGCAGGAGCCTAGAATTAAACATGCGATCTCATAAAAATCTATGCTCCCAGGAAACAAGCTGATCAGAGAAAAGGCTTCAACCCAGCCTTCTCAATTGTTCTTAATTTTTAAATGTGCAGAGAGATTTTCTAGGCATCAAACATGCATCTCTTCCTTGTCACCTGAGGTTATATCAAACCACATCATGTTAAATAATAGCAAGGCATAGAAAATGCAGCCGGGCTAGAATCTTTCTCCAGGTCATGCCTGCTTTCTACAGAAAAGATCATTTTTTTCCACAGAAATGGAAACAAATATTTCATGTTGACATACTACGCAGAAATAAATGACCAATGTGTGGTCTTATTTCCAAACACTTGACTTGGCATCAGAGTTTTTGTGCATGCTTCAAACAATCAGTTTATGTATGTTCATAATAGGCAATCTCCTAATACAAAGACTCAGACAGCCGAGACCTCTTCACCCTGTGCTGAACCTTTGGCTGACAGACTCCCTGAGACATTATCTGAATCTAGCAACTCAACAATGCTATATGGAGAGCAATCTTCCAGGCCCACCTTGCTGCAGAGCCATCCACAAAATCCTTTCTCCATATCCCTCACCGCATGCCACCAATCTCCAAAGGCCCAGGAGATTTGAGTTATTGCTGTATAAATGCCCAGAGAGAAAGAAATCGCCATGATGAAGATAGGATAGAAGATAATTAGAAATGGGCAGAAGGTGATCTTGTGCCAAAAGGTCCTCTCTTCATTGTACACCAAGAAGACATTGTACCAAGTAATGGTCCCATAGTAAAAAGAAACAATAAAGGACATAATGAAAATAATAGGGAGGCAGGCAAGGGTCCAGAGAAGAACATGGGGGCCTTTATCCATCCCAAATTGACAAGCCTTCTTCCTTTCAGGCATTTCGGTTTTTGGAAGCTCCTTTGACCGAGCCAGTTCTTGCAGCTCTTTGTCGGTGAGTGTAACATGGATGTCTACCATCTGCCCTTTCTTCTTTCCTCTTGTGATGGTTCCAGTTAAAGTAACATACCTGCTATCTAAAGGCATAGCCCATGAACCTGGGAACACAGAAGAGCTAAATCAGTACAAGACAAAAGGCAAAGCTGAGATTCACTGTTTTGATACAAATTCTGCTGCATTTTATGCAGACTTCTCTAACCTGGCATTCTCTGGGTTATGGTTTTGTTTTGTTTTTTGGCATAACATGTTATGTGAACCTATCTGTTAATGCCTTAGTAGTCCTTGTGAAGCAAGCCTCTCTGGGAATGGATTTTAAAAAATCCTTCCTTGGCATGGAGTAAATTGGGACTTACTTCAATAATTGCAATCACATTCATATCTGGAAAGCTTGTCCAGGGACAGGTATCAAGCCTCTAAACCAGGGGTAGGCAACCTTGGCTCTTTTATGACTCGTGGACTTCAACTCCCAGAATTCCTGAGCCAGCCATGCTGAGGGGAAAGGGAGAGGTTTCCAAGCTGAGCCATGCTGGCTCAGGAATTCTGGGAGTTGAAGTCCACGAGTCATAAAAGAGCCAAGGTTGCCTACCCCTGCTCTAAATCATATCATGTTATTATACTAGCTTGGTATGATAGTCGTGATATTATGTATGATAGAGCTGTTGTCCATCACAATTGGAGATCACCAGGCTATGGAAAGTTGGCTTAAGAAACGGTAAAAGGAATCAACGAATTGGAAGGAAGAGGAGGATAAATCAGTCCACATAGTGAGGAAAAGCAACTGTTTAGCAGGAAAATATTTTGTTTAAAATAATATATTTATCTTAATGTAGTCCCTCAATAGTTAGGTTTTTTTTATATATGTCCTTTAAAAATAAAACTTTTCACTCCTTTTAATTAGGACACTATGTAAGAAAATTAACATAAGCTTCAGATATAGAATAAACTTTTAATCTAAGGCACTGACAAACATACAAAACTACACTGAAAAAAAATCTGATCAATAGAGTGTAACTGAATGGCACAAAAAAGCCAGAACACATTGTAACATGGTTTGTTAGTTCAATCTATTTGTTGTAGTATTGTGCTTCTTATTCTAAGGCAGAAAATAAAGAGGGTCTAAAGTCTAAACCAGGGGTAGGCAACCTTGACTCTTTTATGACTCGTGGACTTCAACTGCCAGAATTCCTGAGTCAGCTGGCTCAGGAATTATGGGAGTTGAAGTCCACGAGTCATAAAAGAGCCAAAGTTGCCTACCCCTGGTCTAAACCATTGAACTGCAAAGTTCTTGGCTTAGGTTTCCCTCTTGTTGTTCCAAAGTGGCCTCTAATATTTACCCCTGTGTATCCTTTTCAGACAGTATGGAGAGTTAAGAAGTTGACTTTGATAGAGATACAAAAAATCCATTGCTAGGGCAACGAGGAATTAAAAATATTTTAAGCGCACAACAGACAGATAATATTTGGAAGCAACTTAACAGACATTTCCCTAAATCACTTATCTATAAACACGTACAATATAATCAGACTTGCAAAATTCTGTTATTCTAGCCAATCTCAGTAATAATAGTTTTAACCTTCCTGTGGAGTTGATTACTTGGTCTCATCTACCTATTGGGGCAGACAGAGAACAAAAAAGGCCCTTTGGGCAGATAATGCAAACACTGTAATAAAACAATATCATCAAGTGATATTAAGGCCACTTTGCAGAAATGGAAAGGAGTATTTTTCAATAGCTTCTGAATGGAAAATACAGAAGCAAAACAATGTGTCACACTCTTCTCCATTATTATTATTTTTTTTTAGAAAACAGAAAGCTCAGGGAACCAAAGAATCTATGGCTGGCTTTGTACAAAAGTCTGTAACTTGTTTAGGCTAAACATGATGTGTGTATACAGCTGTAGTGGCTTGCAAACCATGGATGATGGCTTAGTGATGTGCAAATTCAGGGACCGCAGTTTGTTCAAGCGTTGACTACAAAATAACTATGGTTTAACAAAATATGCATAGACTGTACTACTACTAGCTGCAGTAGTCAGTACCTGAAAACTAAGCTAAAAGATGTCATTTCCTTCCCTAACACATCCATTGGAACAAATAAAACATGCACAACAAATGTTAAACCACTTATTCCAATGCATTTACCATCTCCTAGAGTGTATCCCAAAAATTTGGAGCCTTCCTCAGAACTTTTCTCAATCCCATCCTCCTCTGCTTGTTCTTCTTCCACTTTGTTTTCTGTCCCTGACCGATAAACAATGATTGATTCTGGCCTGGACTCTTTCCTCCTCTTTTTCCTTTTTTCAGTGCTGGCTTCTCCCTGGCAGGTCACAGCCATAGCCACAGCTCTATGTAAGGAGTTGCAAGGAGAACTCTGCCCCTTGTTTTTGCTCTCCCCAGAAATTTGGGCTTCTGGCCCCCAGTTACTCTGAACTCTTTCACTGGGCATCTTGTTGACTTTTTCTGCTATCTTCTAAAATGTTTTCTCTTCTCTTACGAGCCAAAAATAATCATTGGAAAAGGGATGTGTTCAGTTCAGCAATGCAAACTCCTTTCCAGCCTTGAATGAATTCCGCCCGCTCTGAATCCTAAAAGTGAGAGAAAAAGAGAGAAAATGCTCAGGAAACGTGACCCAATTATGAATTTAAAATGAGCACCCTTGAGATGAATTTAAATCAGCATCCAAAATTAACACTCTTGCTGGAGTCAATTACAAATAACTTTATTACGGTCGTAGACCAGCAACAGCCATCACTTTTTACAATATTATAATAATAATAATAATAATAATAATAATAATAATAATAATAATAATAATAATAATAATAATAATATAGTACTAACATTAATAGTAAATAATAACATCCCTGTTAAGAAAATACATGTTCTCAAAATGTTAGGGTCACTCCCTAGTTTACGTGAATGGATAGCCGATTAGTGTGTGAGTAAATATAATGTTCCAAACATTATTAGAGATATCTCCAAAAAATTGGCACAAGTTGACGGCTATAGATCTGTAACCACTTTTTTTCTTGTGGACATTGCCGCAACACAGTATTTTGCCACTGCATGCGTGATAGAAGGGTTTGAGTCCTGGAGGAGAAAGCCTACATAAAAATTGTCTGCCCTCCCTGGCAATCTCTCTAATAAGGGGAGAATATATGCTGACCTATAAACTTGGTATAACTCATAGTACAATAGAACATGTGAGATATCTTCAACTTCTCCTTTACCACGTATGTATATGTGGTAAAGGAGAAGTTGAAGATATCTCACATGTTCTATTGTACTGTGAGTTCTGCCATTGGTATTCTCTTATACCTGCCCTGGAGGAGTGCTGAGGGAAGAATGTTAAATCTGGCTCTGAAGAAAGCTATTATTTGTTTTGGGAAGGTCAGATCATTCAGATATCTTGACGATTCCTACACACCCTGTTTGATTCTATCTCTACTGTGGCAAAGCAACCTATTTAATTCTTCTTGGAACTCCATGTCCTTTATTCTATTGGACTCTTGCTAGAGTCACACTTAGCACACAAAGCCATCTGGTGTTGCATGTTGCATTAAACCAGTTACTCTGGCTTTAGAACCACATCTGAAGTCTAATGTATGTGTTGATTTGTAGAATGTTTGTAAATAGCCTCTAGCGCGGGCCGTTTCAGAAGATTGTGAGATGGGAAAGGAAATTTTATTTGTAAGGAGTCCAGAGAATTTCTTTCCTTCCCTCCCTCCCACACCAAAAGTGAATTTAGGTAAGAAAGGAACAGATGAACATGGTATTTATAGTATCTGGATGAGAGGCTCTCGGACTATTAGAGGCTGGAAACTATAGAGACTATAAGAGAATGGAAAACTTTTTTTTAAAAAAAAATCAGAAGTCAATAGCAAACCACTTCTCTAACGCTGCCAACAAAACTGTATGGTTTGCCCAGTGCAATTCCCAGAAATCAAGTTCAACTTGAGGGCATTTTAATCTTCTTATTGGAAAAATATATTGCAACACTTCTAAAACCCTTTTTGTCTTGGTAGCTGATAAGAAAAGCACATTGTAACTCTGCACACAAGAACTTAACATTGGACTATTCAGTGCAACTGTTCCGGTTATCTGAATAGTGTTTATGAAAATTAGATTTGGAGATCATCTTCCTGAAAATCTATTTCACTTCACTATCAAGAAATGTAAAGATTTCATTTGTTCTGGAAAAGGCTGAGTTGGGTTAGTCCTTGGATGATAAAGCAGCAGGAACTGGGAAGCTGAAAATCATCTCACAAAGCATTGACAAGCTTCTTCCATATCTTGTAAATATATCTATACCGTGTTTCCCCGAAAATAAGACCCGGACTTCTTCTTTTTGCCTCCAAAAGAGGCACCAGGTCTTATTTTTTTGGGGGGGGGTGTCTTTTCCACAGTCTCATCTCATGGCCGCAGCACCAACACCCCTGCCCAGCTGGCCCATATCTTCTGCGGCCGAAGAAAATGCCTCTGCAGCTGAGAACGGAGCTACGGATTGACATTGCTATTTAACACCAACCTGGGGCTTTAAGGCAAATGTGTTTTGCAATCCTCCCTTGGATTATAAATAATTCCCAAAAAATAACAGCATGGCTTCCCACCACTTGAAAATTCTGACATAAGCTCTAAAACTAGCTTTATTAAGTTCTTTGAGGGGGGGATGGGATGCTGGTGGAAAGAATCATTTGCATGGGCAACACAATCCTGCCCACTTTGCCTTATTACTCTCCTCCTTGCTACCCTCATTTCCCTCAAATGCTATTGTTACATCCTCCAGCCACCTCTGCCCTAGTGAGTGGCATGAATCCAGATTGTGTAATTGCTCATGTGGCCATTTTGAAATCGCTGCGTAGGCACACCTCTTTTTCTATATATTTCTGCATAAATCTGTCTCTGAGAAAATAAAAGGATTAGGATCTCAAAAAAAGGAATGTGAATGAAGAGATGTTCTGTAACTGCTGTTGAGAAAGCAGCAGTAGTGGCAGCATAGTTCACAAACAACAAACAGTAGTCTCTCTATTGCAAAAACCCCAGGGAGTGTTTGCTGTGAAAACAGAGAATTTTTAGAAATTGGGAATTGACTGTTACTATGCAGAATTCTTCCAGCAGGCTTTGTTGAAGTTCTTTCCATTTCTTTAGATGGTTTCTTATTGCACAGCACAATCTGCACATATTCTTTATAAGAACATTGGTAAATTAGAAGTGTGTCAATATAGTAAACACAAATGGACATGTTGTAATTGCCCAAAGAAACATCGAGACAATTTGCAATGTAAAAAGAGGGAGTTAAGTGATTTCACACAGGAGAACCTGTTTAAACCAGTATCACAATTAATTTCAACAGAGGTTCAACATTGGCAGAAAACTTAGAAATAGTAATATTTATTTTTACATGAATTTGCAGATGTCAAACATCTGTCTCCCCAATTCAACTATTACCAAAGAAGACTTAAGCTGTCTTCCCAACCTGATGTCCTCCAGATGTGATGAGGTTCAGTTTCCACAAGTTGGTAATGCTGAGAAGAGAAATTCTAATGCATATGAAAAACCTCACATTGGAAAAGATTGGGTTAAACCACGAATGCCTCAAAGCAGTTTTGGGCGATCTGAGTTTTAGTGTGTTAAGGGTTTCAACATTGGGATGGCAGGAAAACCTTAGAACAGTACAAAAAACCAATGTAAAACAGTTCCAACAATGAGTTTCTAAACACAGCTAGTTTTTTGGAATTAGTTAGATCTAGGGTTGCCAGGTGTCCACTATTTGAGCGGACAGTCCGCTTTTTTCACATTATGTTCACTATTTTTTTTCACAAAATAGTGGACATTTTTTTTATTCAAAAGCTTTATGATGAAATGGTACGTAATCTAAAGCTGTACAGTCTACTTTTTTTACTACTTAACCCCCCCCCCCCGCTTGTCCGCTATTTTTTGGAAGCAGACCTGGCAACCCTAGTTGGATCCATACTGAATTTATGCTTACAATATATTTATTTAATTGTTTATTTATTTATATTGTATGTTTGTTGTTTTTATAAATAAGGTGGTGACCATATCTAATATTCCTCCCTCTTCCTATTTTCCCTACCAACAATAACCCTGTAAGGCAAGTTGAGATGAGAGAGGGTGACTGGACCAAGCTGGAATTAGTACAGACTTCTTGTTTCTAGCCTGGTGTCTTAAACATTAGATCAGATTGGCTGTTATTGTTGAATAAGTGTCAATAAAAACTACATTATAGTTTGGTTAGATGTATGATCCCTATTATTATATGATATTGAGCAAAATAATACCTCTTAAGCATAATTTGTACCCACGAATCTTGTGAAGTCAGACAAATTTCTTGGAACCCAAAACTTCCTATTATCAAGATACTAGTACAAAAAATAAACGTTGGTTCCTGGTAACTTCATGGATATGTCCATATAGTGAACTGGGTAACAGTACGGAGGTGATCTGCTGTTGACTTCTGGAATGTTTTTTCAATTTCCCAGTCTAGCTTCTTGCTCTGGAATTTTCATTGAACTACTGATTAGGTCTGATATTGCTTATGTTTTGAGCCAAGCTCACCTATTTATTTGCCTTCTATTTGGGGTTTTGTACAAGACTGATAATATCTGTAAGGTTTGCAAATTTTGATATACCATGGCTTCCAAATAAAATCATATACTGCCTGTAAAATGAACTACTATATATGAAACCTGTACAGTAGCAGTTCAGTATTTTTTTTAATGTGCACTTATATCTAAGCACAGTACAAAGCCTATTTTTACAATATATTTCAATTGTACATAAAAATGATAGATTGTTCATGGATCTTCTATCAATTCAAATTAATATTTTTCAATGGAGTTAGCTTAAACATTCATTTGAAATTCTCCAAAACTAAGTTATTTATATTATGCATGAGTGTCCTGGACCATAGTTCCAATGAAGTGCAAGAAACATGTTAATTAAAAAATAAATATAAACCAAGGAATTAACAAATAGCAAAGCAATGCAAATTTGTGTAATTTACTTTACTGATACTATACTGCTGTGGAAAATAGTAGAAGCACATTTAATGCAGGGCAATACCAACAATTCTTTTTAATGCTCCTAAGCTATAAAAAGTACCAGTTACATCAAGCTATGGGAACTTGCAGTTCACCAGCAAAACTAGCATTCTTAATGATAAAGACCTAGTTTTTTTCTAGCCCAGATTAATGTTTCTTATGGGACCAATAAACTATGTTATATACTCCATCTGAGATGTGATGGACATACAAAAATAGTAAAATCCCAGTGGTGGGATTCAGCCAGTTTGCACCGGTTCAGGAGAACCCGTAGCTAATTTTTTGTTGTGTTTGGCAAATCGGCTGAATCCCACCACTGGATGGCACCCACTGAAGCCCTAGCCCTTTTTCGCAATGCCCAGAATGGCCCTCCAGAAGTGCATGGACGCCGCTTCTGGAAGTCTGTTCTGGGCCTCGGAGGCCCGGAGGCTTCCCAGGCTCAGAACAGCGCATCGGAAGTGTGTGGATGCTGCTTCCAGAAGTCGATTCTGGGCCTGGGAGGCCTGGAGGAGGCCTCTCAGGCCCAGAATGGCCTGCCGGAAGTGCATGGACGCCGCTTTTCCTCTGAAAAAGGAAGCTCTCAACAAAACAAATCAGGAATTTCAAGGACCAGGTTCAGCAGTGTTGCCTTTGAGCAGATGTCAGGGGAAGTAAAATCTTTCATCATTATAGTTCAATCTATTTGATAATTGGCAAGTCACACTTGAGAAGCATCATCCACATTGTTGCATCTTTTCCTTAGTTAAGTGATAATAGATAGAGGATGGTTTTTTATTCCATCCTCCAATTATTTTAACCCAGATGTCTCTTCAGTATAATCACATTAATTCACTTGGATTTGGGGACAGGGTTGTGTACTTTTAACATACTGTATAACTCCTGTTCTTCTTTTGCTTCCGATTCTTTTCAACTCACTCAAAACACTCTCTTTGCTGCCATCTAATGGTCATGCAGATTTTTGTATCTAAGCTGACAGCTCTTTATATTCCAGTTGTGAAAATAAATCATAGATTACATTATAGTCATTACATTGCATTTGCTTTCATGTACCCATAGTTCAAACTCTTGTATTTAGCTTTCATACTTCAACCAATATTGTATAGATAAAAAAGACCATGAAATATTTTTTCTATTTTCTTTTAAATTTTATTTTAATTGCATACGAAAAAGGAAAAGGAAAAAAGTCACAGAAATACACATCTTTCAAGTACTAAGCAAAATTAGCTTGACACACATATCCATGTCTTCTTATTCAATTATTCAAATTTAAATGAGCATAATAATAGGAAAAAAATGGAAAATTGAACTTATATAATTCAAATCTATAAATAGTCTACATTTAGTAGTATTAACGGTAAGATAAAATCCACTTCAATAGAAGTCAAGAGACAGTACCATTATGTTGGCTTGCATCACAGACAAAGCAATAGAACTACTTATTAGAAAATAAGTGCTATTAAGCTCCCTAAGACCACACTTGGATGAATCAGACTGTGGTTAACAAGTTTCCATTCAGATGAAGCTTTGGCAAGATGACTAAGAATTCAGACTGTAATTTGTCAATCAGGCTAGCAGACAATGTATTTAAGTCTGTTCAATGTAGTTGAATGCACTCATTTAAAATACATTTATTCAACAGAATAAGACTTTTTCCTCAGAATAAACTTTAAGGCTATGAATACACTCAATGATTTTAAAAATGACCCATGAACTATTTACATTTTACATGAGCAGCAGCTACTGTATATCTGGATAACATTTAGCCTAAAGCAGACAAGGTGGTTGCCAGAATCAAGTATTTGTCCATATAACTTATTCTATGCCTGGATTCATACACCTAGCTACAAGTAGCCAACCACAGCCTAACCTATCAAATTGGATAAATTTATTTTTATTTTCTTTATGTATTGCCTTTACTATTTTGACACAGAAGGCAGCTAACATACCTAATACTCCTTTTTCCTATTTTCTCCACAACAATTACCCCCGTGTGATAGGCTGGGCTGAGAGAATGACTGGCCCAAAGTCACCCAGTTGGCTTTCATGCTAAGGGAGGCCTAGAACTCACTGTCTCCTGGTTTCTAGGCCAGCACCTTAACCACTGCATCAAATTGGCTCTCCATGTGGATTAATGCCACCCATATGGTTAGTATATGGTACAATGTGTCATGAAAATCCAGACAAGTTGGCTAATTGAGTAAAGCACAATTCAATCAATCATGGGTAAACATATGACACAAATATAGTTTATATGTGCTGCCATGTGTAGTGGGGAGTTGGCATAATAGCTGTTAATAGCTTGGGTGTATATACTACTGGTATGCTAAGCAGCCTATATTTTGCCTTTGGCTGCAAAAAGTGTGACTTGCAAGAAGCAGGGAATCTAAGAATAAACAGCTTAGACTTAGACTCATAGCTAAGAGAAGCAAAGATTGCTGATCTCTTCCTCCTCCTTCTAGACCTCACTGTTTTCTTTTCTGTCTATGACTTTGCCTGATACAACCAAAAGGAAAAGCAATTAGAGCTTCCTTTCTCTCCTAGGAATCCTGATCACAATTGTTGGTTTTTCTTCAGTGGGAATTCAGAAATTTATAAGCAAGATCATGGGCTGGGGGAAAAGCCTTTTGCTTTTGTCTTCCTCACACTGTTCAAGACTATAAAGGAGGAACGAAAGAGGAATGCCACTGGTATTGCAAGAATGAACACATAACTGTGGTTTCCATATTAGTAACTGGTGGGGTCCTTCAGGCTGAAATAGTTAAGCAGTGAATTGGCTAGCTCCTATGTCAAAGGGTATTTATATTTAATAAAATAGATTCTGAGAGGAGTATTTCCATACTTTCTGACTTTTTAATTGTATATTGCTTTGTATGTCTATTTATGTACATGAAATTTCAGTATGTTTATTTCCAGGTAAGGCAACATTGTGTGATTTAGGCTCATGGGAGTGAGCAATGGCCAACCATTGCCTCTTCTACTATGCAAACAGGTCCTTCCCATTCTTGCCCAGGTAGTACCTACCGAGGTATCTTGATTTACACAGGAATGGTTCATGGTAAGCACTGGTAAACTTCATGCATCTTCAAAGCTAAAGGCTAATGCCTAGAACAGACATGTCAATCTCGCGATGCCACGTGACGTCGCGCAACGTATCGGAGCTTTTTTGCCATTGCCGACAATGGGGTGGGCATGGCTCCGGTATGATGAAACTGGCCGGCGGGCCGGCAGTTTGACACCCCTGGCCTAGAAGAACATTAGAATTCATTGACTTTTCTTTCATCCTAAAGCATAGCAAGTAACTCCCAATTACTTATTTATCAACAACTTCAGAAATCAAAAGACATCAGGAAGAGCAGTTATGACTAAGTTGATGCCATTAACATTTTTCTTCCCCCATTAAGATCTCAAAATATTTAAACACATTTCCAAGATTTCCCATATGAAAGAGAAATAGTAGCTATTAACCTTTGCTGCAGAGGAGGCTGTGAATAAAAGTGGGGTGGAGGGGGAGGAATTCTTCCCAATGCCATATGGTGTAGTCTTTAAAGAGTTGGACTTGGATTGAAAAAAATCTAGATTTTTCAGCCCACTTAATGACTTTAGGCTAGTCACTATCTCTCAGGGCAACTTCGGAGGCTGTTTGAGGAGACCACTATATTGTTTTAAGCTCAGTAAGGTGGACATACAATTGTGGGAGAGAAAACATTATAGACCCTCAAACTTGTAAAAGGATATTCATCTGATTTCGGATAGACCCATGGAATCCCAATGATTTCTTTTAAAAACTGCTGACACACACACACACACTCAACATTGCTTCAAAACAATTTCACCAGAATTGTATCTGAAAGGTCAGCCTGTCTAATCTTGACTCCCTTAAAAAAAGAAAAGAAAAAAGGATTATGCTATCATTTCCAGAAAGCCAAAACCTTACAATCCCAGGGCACTAAAGCAGTTTGGATCAAAATATCTTTTGGAGGACACCAAATTAAAGAAGAGAAGGGAGGTATGTCTTAAAGCAAATAATACAGGCAGAGTTGCTCCGGCTAGGTTCTGTAGGCTTTGGGGACCGCAGACAGGTGGGAGATTCCCGGTTTTCCACTGCTTTAATAGGCTTACAGGGAAGGATGGCGAAGTCGCATGGGAAAGTCCCAATTCTCTTAAATTAAACCCACGCTTACCTGTTCGTGCAAGATTAACGAGGCCTGCAGAACGCCGATAAATTACACCACTTGGGTTGGCATCCGGACCGCCGAGGACAGAGGATGCTTTTGTTCCTCCGCCTCTTCGCGGGAAGGTAGCGCCGTCCCTGCCCCTGAACCGCTCCTTCTTTCTCCTCCGAGGGGGTCAAGGTGGTTCGGAAAGGCTAAGGACCTCTCCTCCCTTCGCATCTGAAATAAACCCCTCCGAAACAGATCGGAAGGGACAGATGCCAGGTCGGGCGCTCCCGGCTTCGAGTAGCTCTTCTGCCTTAAAAGGAGCGCGGTTTGCGTCGTTTTGCCGGGAGACAATGCCGGGAGCGAAATCAAAAGCAGGGGTGAAACAGATGATCTACTGCACCACCACCATTCTCTTCCACTTCTTTGATATTATTGGGGGGGGGGGGAGAATCTTGCTCAGGGATCGCGAATGGTACAGAATAGAATGGGTGGGAAGGGCGGTATCTACCCTCCTCCCTGCCTTCCACTCCCCAGTCTTTAGTAGGGAGAGAAGGAACCAGGCGGAGACAGACCTTTTGTGCTGCGAGGGAAAAGGGGAGGGGAAAGAATGATAATTGTGTACTTGAGACCCCCCCCTTTCCCTCCCTCTCGTGCAGCCAAAGATACAATCCCGTCCGCGTGCCATTAGCTTGCATTGAGCAAGAGATGCCGCCCACCCCCCACCCCCCCGGTGGGTGTGGCAGGGAGAAGGCTGCTACAGCGCGCTATTCCAGAGGTAGCGTTCGGATTTCGAAAGAGAAGGGGAAAAGGGGGGGGGGCAGAGCGCTCAAGAGGCGTTGGTCACGTGACCCGGGGCGCTCGCTGCAATATAAATGGCCCTAAGAAGGACCAAAGTGTGGCTGAGAACTGTCAAGATGGCGGCGGCGACGGTTAGCGATGGCAGCGGCTGCAGGGGGATTCTGGCGGCTGGACTCTTTCGCAATCACGTGGCCGTCGTGACGGGCGGGGGCACGGGCATCGGCAAGGCCATCGCCGCTGAGCTGCTGCATCTCGGTGGGCAAAGGGTCTCCGAAAGGCGGGAGCTCAGTCTCTGGGAGCGGGTTTGTCTCTCCTCCTCTGGGGGAATGGGAGAGGTGGAGAAGGATCGAAGGGTTCCTCTGTGCCGTTGATTGTAGCTTTTATGATTTTGACAAGAGTGACAGGAGTTCAATAGGGGCAGGTTCCCTCTCTTAGAAGTTGGGTGCCTGGGACTGATTTCGTAATTAGTTGTTACTTACTATGAAGTTACTAGAGCAGACCCAGAGATTTATCTGAAGGGAAGGAAAGGGGCTAGGAGGAAGAAAAATTTTGATTTTCTTCAGATTGTTTGGGTATTAGCTCCCTATAGCCCCAATTAGGGTTGTCACTGAGATTATGGTAATGTAAAATTGAACAATTAGTAGAATAATGTTTTGTCTGCATAACTGCAATAATGATGTGTCTGCATAATTGCTAGAACAATGATGTAATGCATAATCACTGGGAAAATTCACTGGGAAAGTTCTCTGTCAGTAATATGTGGCAACCAAATGCGCTTTGCACATGGATACTTTGTATGTAGCAAAACCTTCCATTGTATGCCTGTGAGAAATGCTCCTAATGTATCACAGTGTGTATTTCAATGTGTAGCCCTTTGTTCTTTAAGAGGAGTATAAAAACTGAAGTCTAATCCCACCCTCCTCGTTCAGAATTGCCTATCTCTAATATGCTCTGAACCTTGCGCAAATAAACTTCTCTGCTAAACCCCTCTGGAATTCGTAAGAGTTCTTTCGTTTTCCACAAGAATTTTGGCACCCCAGATGGGACTCTTATGAAGAGGCCGTTGTCCTGCCAGACGGACTGCCCTGGGGAAAACCCCTCTCCTATCGGTGATATCTCCAAGCTTGCTCCGTGGCCTTTGACTACGGGAAGACTTCGACGGGAGGAAAGGGAATTTACCACCAGCAAAGCATTCCAGTCAAGGATCCACTGAGGGGAGCAGACAGGTCTTTTAATCCACAGGAGGGTCTGGAACGCCTGCAGGCAAGTATTATAAAAAGGGGTACCTGATCCCATTTGGGTCAGAAGAGGGAATTCATCAGCAACACCCCCCCTTAGAGGCTCCTCCGGCTGAAAGGGATGAAGTCCACCTTAAACCAGAAGCCGGAGCGGAGGAAGAGATAAAAACAGAACAGGGAGTTCAAGAGCAAACACAGGACTTGGATAGAGATGAAAGAGAAACACCATTTTCTAGCCGGACAAGAAATAAAAACTCAAAACCAAAGATAGAAGAAATCGGAGAAATATAAGTTGGCTAAATTAAAAGTATTAGCCAGAAGACACCCAGAGGGAGGAGCTACTTATTAACCCTAACGCTAACCCTAACCCTTCAAATTCTTGCCCCGTTTTCTCCAAACAGTATGTTTAAAGGGCTTGAAGTTACTCATTTTTGTGGGAGAGATAATTTTGACTGCTTCTTACTTTGATAATTGACTTGCCTTGTTTCAGGCTGTTTGTTTGTGATGCTTTAAGAACTAGCCCCAATACTAGGAAGGGAATGCACACAGTTTATAAACTAAATGTCAGGTTAGAATAAGCACAATTTTCATGTTTTCTTTCTTTGTAGGTTTACAAATAGCAGTAATCTCTTAATAGTCCAAAAAGTGATACTGAAGTGATGATTAGCCCAGATTTAACACTTCAGCAAGAGATCTGGTTTAATCTTTGTACAACTGGTACTAATATTGAAATACCTCTTGTTTTGTTTTGCAGGTAGTAATGTAGTTATTGCCTCTCGTAAACTTGACAGATTAAAAGCTGCAGCGGCAGAGTTAGCTGCTGAAATTCCCTCCACTAGTTCTGCCCAGGTGACTCCTATACAATGCAACATTCGCAAAGAAGAAGAGGTAAAAATGTAAATAGTCTTCCATATTTGACTAGTGTATTGTTCACTGGGTTATTCTTTTCATTATTACAATGAAAAAAAAAGTTTTCATCCAATATTGAAAGATTAACAAAGAAATTATCTAAATACTAGTTCCTCTGCCAGAAATGACAAACATTGCTGTTTCCAGTTGATTTTCACATGAATTAGGTGTTCGGGTGCTTTGTAAACTCTAAGGTAGTTTACATTTTATTAAATATTTTTTTAAAATCCTATGTCCTTTGTGGGTAACATCAATCTTTAACAATGCTGAAATTTGAAAGATATCAAAAGAATGATCAAAGTAATCATGTTGAGGTTCCCTGCTTTAGGTGAAGTTTCATTTACTGAGAAATGAAATGAAATTATAATTTGACAATTGCTTTGATTTTAGAAAAGGAAAAAAAACATTTTGTCTCAATGCTATAGTATTTTGTAGCATCTGTACTGCTGGTACAGGTAGTCATCAACTTACAACAATTCATTTAGTGACCATTTGAAGTTATACCAGCACTGAAAAAAATAGCTTATGACCATTTTTCACATTCACAACCACTGCAGCATCCCATGGTGGCGCAGTGGTTAGAATGCAGTATTTCAGGCAAATTCTGCCGACTGCTAGCAGTTCGATCCTGACCGGCTCAAGGTTGACTCAGCCTTCCATCCTTCCGAGTTTGGTAAAATGAGGATCTAGATTGTTGGGGGGCGATATGCTGACACTGTAAACCTCTTAAAGAGGGCTGTAAAACACTGTGAAGTGGTATATAAGTCTAAGTGCTATTGCTATTGCTATTCTCACGGTCATGTGATCAAAATTTGGACACTTGGCAAATGGCATATATTTATGATGGCTTCAGGATCCCAGATCATGTGATCATCTTTTGAGACAGTTAATGGGGGAGTCAAATTCACTTAACCACTGTGTTTCTAACTACACTGATTCATTTAAGAATTGTAGCAAAAAGGTCATAAAATGGGGCAAACTCACATAACAACTGTCTTGGAAAATTTGGGCTCAGTTATGTTCACAAGTCGAGGACTACCTGTATTTAGCTTTTATTGTATGTAGTTTTTTAAAAAACTTTTATTGTTTACTTCTTTCAGTGCCGCTGGTTGGAAGGGAATATAGGGGACATAGTAAATAATTAAAAATCAATATAAAGAATTCTAAGAAGGCAGACCAGTGAAATTCATTGTGCCCTTTTCCTATTGGCTGGTTTCTCTCCCATTGCTTTCCACTTTCTGTTCCCAACCTGCCATATTGTATGGAACAGTGATTCCTTCCAGTCTCAACCTCCCCATTACAAAAATAAATAAAAAGTCTCTAGTATTCACGTGAGAGGAAGTTTTCTTGTTAAAGAGCTTCTACTGAAGGGTCCTTGTTGCTCTCTGAGCTTGCTTGTTTTCTTGCAGACTTTTCACTACCCAAACTAGGTAACATCATCAATACTAGTAAGGAGTGCTGTTTGCTGTCAGTTTATATTCTAGTGGCTTGCCTGTCAGGGTTGGTGGGGGTGGTCTTAGAGATTCTTTGATTGGGCTGTTTGCTGTTGGCTTCTTTGGCAGTTTTCTGATGGGGTATTGTTTACTTGATTGCTGGTCTGATGTTAATCTTGGAGTTAATCTATGCTGGTCCAGGTGCTGATTGCTGGTGGAGAGGTGCTTGGGTTTTTTTGCCCCTTTTGGAGCTGGGTCTCTTTTGCATAATCTATAGATGTTGTTAATGTCTATATTGATGGCTGATTTGTCAGAGTTCCAGGTTTCTAAAAATTCCCTGGCATTTTTGGACTTGGACTTAGTCCAGGATGGTCATATTTTCCCAATTGAAATTATGGTTAAATCTATTATAACTTTTCTCTTCTGGGAAACGGTAGCACTTATTGCAGTGGATAAGAATATTGATTAGTATTTGTTTTCACATTTATGACCGTTGCAGCATCCCCATGGTCATATGATCAAAATTCAGATACTTGGCAATTGACTCCTATTTATGGTGGCTGTGGTATCCCAGGCTCATGTGATCACTTTTCCGACCTTCTGACAAACTAAGTCAGTGGGGAAGCCAGATTCACTTAATAACCATGTTACTAACTTAACAATTGCAGTAATTCACTTTACAACTGTGGCAAGAATGGTTGTAAAATGGGGCAAAACTCACTTAACAACTGTCTCGCTTAGCAACAGAAATATTGGGCTCAATTGTGGTCATAACTGGAGGACTACCTGTATATGCAAGCAATACTGTATTATGTGAATCTGCCTCAGTATAAGGCTTTTGCCTAGACTTCATCTCCAACCATATGCTACTTTCAGCTATACTATACAATTTTAAATATATGTTGTGACCTGTAGCCTGAACTTCCTGTCTAGTGCATGGCAGAGCTGTTAAACGAACAAACTGAGTATTAGGCGGGAAATGACAAAAAAGTTAATTGATCCTAATTTAGGCCAAAGTGTATCCTAAAGAGGCAAACAGAAAATGAGCTATCAATTGAACAGAACCCCAAAAAAGGAATCTATTGAGTCAAGAATCAATTCCCGCAAAGAAGAATATGTTAAAAATAGCTTTTTAAATGATAGTTTAAATTCAACTAAATTCAAACATCATATTATAACACATTTTGCTCCGTGTGGTTTGGCATCTTGTGGTGTTATTGGTAAATAATAGTTAAATTATGGCTTAGCACAATATCAAAATCCACTTTTACCTAAGATTGCCCAATACTTTAAATCATGCTTAGTTTAACTGATTTTCTAAATTAGTGCAGTCTGCTAGGTTGTATGCTATGATTTAAAGATCACAGAATTTTACATAGCATTCTAAATGTCATAGTTCCGACAGACAGAGACAAATAAAGCAGAACTCCGAGGCTTGCAAGTTCCTCAAAGAACATGTTTATTGATACAAAGTATCGGCATGTCAAAAGTGAAACCAAGTCTGAATAGACATGTAACAATCCCCAATGCAAAGTTAAGAAATCTCACTCCTAAAGCTATGCAATCTACTATGCTCCCCAATGCCCAGCCTGCACTCCTAGGAGCAGCCGATGACCTTGGTTCCCATGGGAGAAAGTCTGTTTTGTCTAGCGTAGCACCTGCTAAACCCCCCTTCCTCCGTGCTATGTGTCAACTGAAAATGAGTAGGGGAAAATGGCTGCAGCCACACTCATATTCAAAGTTGACACTAACGCAAATCACTGTTTCCAAGAACAAGGAGCACAAAACCTGAGAGAGTAGAATATTACAGTTGAATGCACTTTAATCAGAAAAATTGGCCATATGTTTAACTTCTGTGACAGAATCAGAAAAGGGAGTCTCTGTTTCCTGAAAATGTAGCTACAAAGATGTCTCCCTTAAGGGACTAAGATAACATTATCATTCTGAAAGGGATCAATGTCCCTTTTTTAAAATTCTTTTTTATACAGCTTAAAATACCTTATTTTTCATATGTCTACATTTGTCAGCAGCTTTGTTTCTCTGACTAATCTGTTACAGCAAATTCAAATAAACCACCTAGGGGAAAACTTGTTGAATGCTGAGTTTTAATCTCTATCCACAAGGGCATCCTTGCCTGCTAATAAAGCTTTCCCATCGTTGTGCTATAAATAATTCTGCTTTTTTGGCGCACAGCTTCCAAGTACAGCATTGCCTGCCAGCTTTCCTTTGTTAAGAATACACCATTACAAACTGTGATTTTTAGTACAATGGTTCTACATCCAGTAAACTGCTACATATATAAATTGTTATATTCTAACTGTGGCTGGGCTTGATCATCTTTTCCAGGAAAGGAAACATCATGTTACCAGATGTCATGTGGGAACATACTTGCTTTGTAGAGGCTTGTTCTGAAATATGCAACTAAAATGACAGGACGAATGGTTATGAAACCACTGTCATTAGCTCCCGTTCAAAGAGTTGCTGAAGTCATAAATCTCTTGATCAAATGCTATATTCAACTTTCAATCATTAGTAGCCAGGCAGATACAAAACACATTTGGCAGGACTGTGTTAGGGACTCTTGAGTATAATTTTTATTTTTTTTCTATCTATCTGTCTTATCTTCAGCCTTTATTTGTTTGTTTGTTTGTTTGTTTATTTACTCAAGACGGCTGTGTTAGGGACCCTTGACTATAATTTTTATTTTTTTCTATCTGTCTATCTTCAACATTTATTTGTTTGTTTGTTCGTTTGTTTGTTTAACAAATAACTCAAGACGGCGAGCATATCCAACATACCTTCCTCCTATTTTCCCCACAATAACAATCATGTGAGGTAGGTTGGGCTGAGACAGAGTGACTGGCTCAAAGTCATCCAGCTGGCTTTCATGGCTAAGATGGGATCTTATAATAACTATAACTATAATACAATAAGTATATGAGTTTTATAGGTAATAATATTTGCTTTCTTTATAAATTATGTTTAAAAGTAAACTCTCAATAAACGTGTAAATCCTTTTGCAGTTAGACTGTAGCCAAATCACAACAGAATTTTTGTCATTGTGATGAAATCTTAGGTTGTTGTGGAATTCCCTTGTTATAGAATATTCTAGGTGATACTTCTAACTGCCATATCATTTCTTTTTTTTTCTTTTTTTTAATTTTTTTTTATTTTTCACCATAT